GGATGTGGAGAAGCTTGAGAGAGTGCAGAGAAGAGCCACGCGCATGATCAGAGGTCAGGGAAGCAGACCCTACGATGACAGGCTGAGAGCCCTGGGGCTCTTTAGCCTGGAAAAGCGCAGGCTCAGGGGTGATCTGATGGCCACCTACAAGTTTATCAGGGGTGACCACCAGCATCTGGGGGAACATTTGTTCACCAGAGCGCCCCAAGGGATGACGAGGTTGAATGGTCACAAACTACTTCAAGATCGTTTCAGGCTGGACATAAGGAAGAACTTCTTTATTGTCCGAGCCCCCAAGGTCTGGAACAGCCTGCCACCAGAGGTGGTTCAAGCGCCTTCATTGAACACCTTCAAGATGAAACTGAATGCTTATCTTGCTGGGATCCTATGACCCCAGCTGACTTCCTGCCCTTTGGGCGGGGGGCTGGACTCGATGATCTTCCGAGGTCCCTTCCAGCCCTGATGTCTATGAAAATCTATGAAAAAAAATTTTTGCCTCTTGTAGAAATTTAGGAATTACTAGTCTGATCTCCAACACTGACCATCCCCAGACAGTTCAGATGAAGGTGTCCAGTAAACCTGTTCAGCATACATGGTATGACCATGGATCGAGTCTGGCTATCGCAGGGGCAGGCAAAATACAAGGCTTGGGCCAGATCTGGCCTGCCAGGCCATTCCATCTAGCCAGTGGGGCCCATAAAAATTTTTGAAAATTAATATTTATCTTCCCCTGGCTGCCTGTAAAAGATGACAGGAGACAGGGGCAGTAGGATCCAGGGGGAGCTGGTGGCAGAACTAGACAGCTGGAGCAGCAACTGCACTCCAGCACTCCTTTGTAGCTCCCCCACCCTGAGCCCCAGCTGGAAGCCTCTGCCTAGCAGGGTCTTCTAGAGGCTTCTGGCATGAGGCTGTTCCTGTCTCCCTGCACTGAGGGAAATACAGATAAGTAGGATGGGTGGAGGGAGGCAGGGGAGGAACATGGGTGATTGCCCCAGTCAGGGCCAGATGGGCTGGCTCTTGTGGTCCCAGCGCTGCAGCTGGAAACCACGTGGTGCTGGAGGCTGGTAGGTGGGTGGGGGGAGCAGGAAAATGGCTGTGCAATGTGGGGAGAAGGGGCAGAGAGTTGGGCGGGGGCACGGGGTCCACTCTGGTGCACCGGGGCCAGCACCAGCGGGGCCCAGAGCGGGCTGGCTCCCACCTCTCCCTGCTGGAGCAGTGCAGCTTGGCTCCATATAGACCCTGGCAGCCCAGGCCCCATGTTCCTGCTGCCCCACTCTGGGTCCCACCTGTGCTGGCCCCAGTGCACTGGCATGGGCCCTGCAATCCCACCCAGCTGTTACTGTGTTCCAAATGTCTGCTCACTACTCCTTCCTCCCGCCTGCCACAGCCATTTCCCCACTCTCCACCCTGGCCCCCCTGCCCACTCTGGTATCACGTGGTTCCCAGCTGCAGTGCTAGGACTGCAAGAGCAACTGGGAAGTGGTGCCGGAGCAGCCGGGGGAGGGGGGATAGGGAAGTGGCAGGAGAAGGGCAGCAGTGGCAGAGCAGGGGCAAGAGGCAGTGAGCAGAAGCACGGGGCCTGTGCCAGTGCCCCAGGGCCAGGAGCAGCAGAAGCACCAAGCTCGGGCTTGCAGGAGCCCTGGCAGGGCTCTGCCAGGGAGCAAGCTGTTGGCAAACCCACGCAAGCCACAGCCCTCCACAGTCACCCTCCCCCCACACACTTACAACCCCCCACAAACCCCATACCCACCTATACCCCACATAATCACCCCCACACCTATCCACCCCCCCACAAGTCACACACACACACCCTTCCCCATACCTCACATACCGACAAAACTATACCCACTCTCCCACCCACACCCTCCCACAATATGCAAGAATAAGACTTCATTTTAAGCTATCACCTCTATGTACACTACACAAATACATGTAAATCAGGACAAAAATATTTTTTGAAATGAAATTAATGAATTTTGTAGCACATTTTTGATTTTTATAATATAATTTGGTATTTTTCTGGTTCCAAGATGGCAAACCTCATGCTGAAAGGAGTACTTCTGGGAGGCAAAGGAAGGGACTTCTGGTGGCAAAGGTCAGGGGCTAGGGGGGCGGGGCTTCCGCCCCCAAGATGGCGACCAGGGGGTGGGGCACCTGTCAAGGGGCGGGGCTACCCATGCAGTCCTCGATGGCTTGCCAAAACTTGGTAAGCAGCCCTCCATCCAAAATAATTGTCTGCTCCTGGGCTATCATCGTTTACAAGGATAACAAGAATAACAAGTGCAGAATAATTGTAAAAGGAATAACTGGCTCTTTCTTGTGCTGTACAGAACTTTTGCTTTACAAAGTGTGATCATAGTCTATAGAAAATTTGGATGAAAAATTCAGTATAGGTTACTGAAATATTTTACAGGATTATCTATTTAGTTTTAAAAAAATCATTTGAACTCTGGGCCTAATCTAGAAATTAATAGAAGCTTTCTAGTGATTCCCAGGGGGACAGAGTTTGAGCCCAGTATATATTATATATGTTAATTCAACATCTAGTTATTATACCAGAGGAAACTGAGACATTTTGGTGAGTGAAAGGAAATTAATAGGATTTGGGAATAATTATTCTTTCAGAACTAATCTAGTTTCTGTTTTGGTAAGGATAACCTTCTTTTGACTGTAACAGAAACAATATTGGATGCATTGTATAGGGATATAGGGAAGATAATGTTCTGCAAAATTAAGTTAAAATTATACCAACTTCATTAATTGAGTAAATTCTGTTTGTTTATAGGATAGAAGGAGAGAATTTGAGAGTAATCTGCAAAAATCTGGTCTGGAATTAGAAACAGAAGACAAAAAGGTAAACAATTTTCATCCCATTCAAATAAATTATAATCAAAGAAGTGAAGTTATAAATTGCTAGTTAATGTTTCTAACTTTCTTTTTTGGTAGGATATTATCCACTGTGTTATAAATGATTGCAAGGAATTTCAGTAATATATGTAAGAAACTAAAGCTAAGCAGATGCAATCACCTAACTGGGGAGCTGTCTCTTGATAAACATTGTGAGAATACAGTTGTTGTTTCTGCAGGAAATGATTGCTTTTTATGTTTGAATGAGAAGAAAATAGTTTGCCAGATAACTGAACTCTGAGCTCATTTATACCCATAAACCAAAATCTACAGGAAGCATCCCTAGAGTCCCAGCCCACAGCCTCACCAATCCATGCACCTCAGCCTCTCTACACAGTTTATGAGAAATACCTATTGTAGTAATTGGAAAGTGCTTATATCCTGTTGACAGTAGTATCAGGATGGGCCCTTATGCTGGTGTGTGGTAAATCTAGTCTTTTTGCTTAGGGTTAAAGTCCTACATCATGCATGTGAAGGAGTGCAGGGGGAGCATCTCTGGTCTGCATGTAAAAACACAGAGAAAAATAACCTTGTAAAACCTATGGATCCCATGGAATCTGCAGATAAGGATCCAAAGAGCCGTTGGCTGAACATTACTATTTTATATGGTGAAACACTCTGTTCTTGAGTGCATGTACTAAGTTCAGAGGAATTCTGTAAAGATTTTGGTTGGGGGAGGGAACTGCTGTGGAACTATTCCCTAGCCACTGCTGCAGGCTATAGGGTTGCAGTAGCTTTGATGGTTGCTGATAGACTATGAGTTTTTCAGGTAGATCTGTATGATTGTGAGTTAATCATAGCATACTTGCCATTTTGACATACCTTCCTAAGACTGTCATTTGCTAAAGAGAGAGAATCTCTGTAAAGCATAGCATCATGAGATTCAGGGAGTTTGAACTGCTCTGAGGCATGCTACACCATTTTTGAGATACACAGATTGGTTCAGAGGTGATATATTTTATTAGACCAACTAAATAGTAGCAAACAATTTCCTTTTTTTGCAAGCTTTCGGACACAAACACCCTTCTTTAGGCTGAGGAGAAATCAAAGATTGTAAAAGTCCCCTTACGTAGAAAAGAAACTCCATTTTGCTCAGGGGGATATAGAAAGTGAAAGTTTATTCCCCTGGCTATCTCTGGGTCCTTTTGTGAAAGTGTTGCTCTTTGATGAGTAGATCCGGCTGTCGTCTTCCCTGGTGGTGTTCAATGTCAGCGGCAGATCCCTGACACCATTTCTGATGCATTCTGACTTCTGTGCATCTTAATTAGAAAGAAGGATTTAGCCTTTACTGTGCGAATCTGGTGGAGCTGGAAGTTTCCTTTCGAACTTCCCAAAACTGCAAAGAATATAGGTACCTTGTATCAACCAATCATACAAGTTTTCTTGTATTGAGTGGGGGGAGATTTTGCTCCTATTTTCATTGGATCAATTGAAGCCATTCAGATGAAAGAAAACAAATGCAGAAAAGTTCTGAAGAAAGTCTAGCTTCATATTAATCCTACAGTTATAAAAAATAAAGTTTCGTCTGACATTTGGTTTAATTTTTCTTTTATAGGAATCTGAAAATGGCAAAACTTACTACGTGAAGATCCATGCCCCATGGGAGGTTCTGATTACATATGCTGAAGTGCTGAACATCAAAGTCCCCATCAAGGAAAATGATGTTCCCTGTACTATAGAAAATCCCATCGATTGTATGCTTTCACCATTTAGGCTTCCAGAGAAAGTGATGCATCCTGACCCAGATTACTTCACAGCACCATTCAGGAAAGATAGACAGGAACTCTACCTCATTCATGATGAAAGCACCTTCTTCTCACCATCAGTGAGAAACAGAATAGTATGTATCTCAGCCCTTTGGTTTACATGTGCATACAGAATTTAACAGTGACCTATAGTGTGGGGGAGAAGGAAAGTATATGGTACAGTATCCTCAATTTTTGCACAGTGAAGCCAAGTGGCATTTGTGAAAACTGTTCCTTCATTAACCTTATTTAGAGCTTCCTCGTTCACTGGAGCCCTGAGAGGCATTGAATTTTCCCTATGCAATAAATGCTGCAGTGTCTCACCCTCTTCTTTGAGGAAGATTGAATCCCTCAGCAATACCCTTTTCATCCTTCCCTGTAGTGTGCTGTTAATCCAAGTTAAAACAGAAAAGACTTAAACCTGCATGTTTGCATCTTAGGTTTTCTATATTCTAACACGATGCCCATATGGAACAGAAGAAGGAAAGAAAAAGTTTGGGATTAAAAGACTATTAAGTAATGGCACCTACACAGCTGCTTACCCTCTTCATGATGTAAGTATTCTAGTTTTGCAGTCCCTTAGGTATTTCTTAGTCCAGGTCTCCTCCTTCATTTGTTTTACTGGCTGTGACTTCACTGATTCAGGTCTCCTCCTTCATTTGTTTTACTGGCTGGGACTTCACAGATGGAAACAGAAACTCATTTGGTCTCCAACCCTTCCAATATCTACTGATGACTCTTGTCCTTTCTCCTGTAATGTATAAATAAGATTTGCCAGTCCTGTTATACAGTATGTAAATTTATGGGACGTAAACAATTTCAGCCAGAGAGGGTGCATCTACACATGCATTAATGGGTTTTTCCTTATGTGCGTTAAATTTAGTATCTCTGATGTGAGGTAGTAAATTGATGTGCATTAGGCTGCCCCAAAGCAGAGTAGCACAAGCATATGCTTTTTTAGGTGGTGCTTAATGGACAATAGCCTATTTTACTGCACATTTCTGTAATAGCATGGTTTTTTATGCACCACTTTAATGTGCAGTAAAATAGACTACTGCACATTAAAGTGCATGTGTAGACATGCCCAGAGTGTATTAATATGACTCATACAATAATATATTTGTATAAATGGGATATGCTATATATTATGAGAAATTATAACAGTTATATGCAGTAACATATAATGACAAAGAAACAAGTAAATGAACAACATCTTCATCTGAGGCCATAGATACTGCAAGTCACATCCACCTGCAGTGTAAATCTCCACTGAAAATAATAACGTTAACCCTGCAATAAATTTGGCCCTAAAAGACCACATAGTTTGATAAGTGCTTTATGATGCCTTCTGTGGGCAAAATGTAGGTACAGGTTTCTCTCACTTTATGCAAGTTCTGTGTGTGCGAATTCACTCTTATGCCATGACCCTTTTTATACCAAAAATTCATTGTATGCGAGGTAAATTCACTCTTATGCGATCTGTGTGGTGGAAGCCCGCAGTCAGCTGCTTTGTGCGGTGCATTGTGGGGGTGATGCGCACCAAAATATAGTCTCTTGTGCGGATCTGTGCTCCTCACTCATTGTCTGCAACACATTTCTGTACTTGCCATCCTATTATGATGGTGCCCTGTGCTTGGTGAGTACCAAAATTGTCTTGTAAAAGTGGTAGAAATGGGTCTGGGAGTCAGTACAATCAAGGTCTTGGAACATATCTCTGTTTGTTACATTGTAAAGTAGGTTTATGAGAATTCAAGTTATGCACTGTTTTCCAGGAATGCATGTAGAGCATAAAGTGAGGAAAACCTGTACTATAAAGCTTGTAGGAGTAAAAGCTTTCTCTATTTGCTATTTGCTATTTTCCTGCTAGGTGTGTTTTTAAAGAAAAGATGTCTGAATTTCTCTCTAGTCCCTATTTGCAGTGACAAAAGGGAGCTGTGCCACTAAGCACCGACATATTATACTGAAAAGCTACCTCCTAGTAACATTTTAATTAGCTGTTTGTGGGATTAATCTAATCCCTTATTTATTTTTAATAATCATTTGAAGATAATTATAATGCCTGCCAGCATTTTCAATTACACGTTTACTTGATTGATTTCTAATTTATGGGTCTGCTTTTTGAGAACTCTGCTTAATTTTTGTTGCAAGTGAATTAGAGAAAGAGTCTAAAAATGAGAAACTTCCCATTGAATGCAGTGTTATCACCTATTCGATGGGATGGAAATTGTGGCTGTTTACACAATGTCAGCTTGGCACAAGGCCCATACACTTGTTTTACTTGGGCACCTAGCACATTGTGGGCAATATTAAAAACAGATGATAATAAAATAGCAGCACTGATGCCAGAATAGAGGTTCCAAGAAAGCTTTTCCATTCTGTGTTAGTAGTACTAGCCCCCAAACCATGAGTTTGTTTCCCAAAAACCATGAAATAGAAGTAAATATCAAGAGAGATTTACAAATGATATATCTTGAGTTATTTCGTTTCTAATTTTGGAGCTTTGAGGGTGCTCATGTACCACTCTTTCAACTTTGTCTCCACAACTGTAGACTTAAAACAGAAGAAAAACTGGAAGCTGAAGTTTTCTCATAGTCAAATGACATGTGAAGCTAGGGCTCTGAGACTTGATAAAATAACAGGTGTCACTAATGACACAGTAGTTGTAGTCCATTCATAAGGAACTTGCGTAATGCATAACATGACAGGAAGTGTGCGCAAGTGCTCACTACCATGAAGTTAAATTCATGGCTGTTACTTAATTATTGTAGTGGGTGTTCACTTTCCAACCTCAAGCCACAATGGTGATAGTAGGTAAGGCAAGTCCCTGGGTAGATGGAAACCAAATTGATACTTTATCATGTTTATACACTTCTATCTCTCAGTGCAAGCTTTTTGACTATGGAATCCACCATGAAAGCATGATTCTGACCAACAGAGCACTGAGGATTTGAACTGGGGTTTGTTTAGGAGTAATGTAGGGCTTGTCTACATTAGGACAATTTGTGCTAATGTAGGTACATGTTGTCTAAATGTAGGTGTGTTATACTTGTGTAAACCTGGCTTGCATCTGTGGCTTTCTTCAGTGAGTACAAGAACAAATCAGAAGTACAAAACATATTTTCCACCAATGCAGCCTGCCTATAAGAGCTTAACGTTAAAATTTCTGAAATGTCCCAGGGGCCTACTGGTACACATGTTGTTTTAAAATATTATGTGTAAAACTTGGAGTATAGGGTTGAGTGCCAATAATTTTACTGAGTTGTGTTGCTACTAATATACATTTCTTCACTGTGTTGTATTAGCGTATTGATGAGCTGCTTTGTCTCTCTAATATATGCACACTCACACAGTGCCAGTACTGGAAGAAGTCAAATGATCCACACTGTGATAATGAGAGATACACGCTGTACATGGAGTGGGCCAGGTTTTTACGGTTTTTCAAGGAACAGCCTTTGGATCTCATCAGGTAAACTATCAGTTCTAAAAATCATTTATTGCACTTGGCCATATTTAATGGGTTTTCACAGCAGTATATGCCTGTATTCATTTGTCATTTTGTTCCTCTTGGGAACTTTTTTATCCATTTGTAATGTTTAAGGAAAAGCAGATACTTAACCAGGGACCAGGTGCAGAGAATACATAGAATGTATTTTTATTAGCAACTGGCAACACTCTCTACTTCAAATCCTAAAACTGTTCCAACCCAATCACCCCAGGAGAGTCATTTTTCTGATTCTGCCTTGCATGCAGATGAATTTTTACAGAGGACTATTATGTGCAAGATTTTGGTCCAAGGTAGCAGGTATTTTACAGAAACAACTGAACACCATTTAAGATGGAAGTGTTTTGAGAATGTCAGTGACGTTTTGTCACCATTAAATCTAATCTGAAAGGACTCTTATTCAGTCTCAGATGTAAAATCCCACCTTAATACCTGAATTCTAAGCACTTGGTCCCTTTCTCATTCTTACATAGAAGTGCATTTCTTTATTGACATGACACATTTCTCCCATTTGTAACACATCCTGCTACTTTTTCTATAATAAAAAGACCGTTCTTTTTAAACGATACATTTAATCCTAAATTCTGCTTATTCATTTTGGTGCATAACAGAGGTAAATTCACATTTATATAACAACATTGTGGGTAGGGGAAGTAATTCCTTAAGTGAGAGACCAGAAAAAACAAAGGCAAATAAGGTCATCTGTCGTGCTTATTCAACACATATAACTCTTATTTATGGGCTACGTTCTGACCTTGCTTTAGCAGCATGACAATGGTTTTATTCTGTTGTGAGATCAGAATTTGTCCTATAGTCTTAATTTTGCATGGACCTTGACCAGTTTTGTCTTTTTTAATTTTTATTGTTCCTGTTTCCTGTCCAATATCATTGTGTGTTGCAGGAAATACTATGGAGAGAAGATTGGAATCTATTTTGCCTGGCTGGGTTTTTACACTGAGATGTTGTTCTTAGCAGCAGTAGTTGGCTTATTCTGTTTTCTGTATGGTTTGTTTACAATGGATGCAAATATGAGCAGGTGAGTGTAATTATCAGAACTACATTGAAGTGGAGGGCACTACTTTGTTATCAAAGCAGAATTATAGTTTTTAAGTGTCTATCTTAACACTGCTGTTGCATGTTTTCATAACTGCAGCTGTTCAGGATTTGCTCCATATGGAAGGAAGTCAGAATTGGCATTCATATATACTGAAAAAATATATATATTTTTAAAATATCAAGTAACTCAGGGTGTGGTTATAGTGGTTCTACACTCACTATAGAAAAGCAGGAAGTAGACATATTTTTAAACAATGAATTATGTCACTCTGACACTTGTATTCTAGTAATAATATTACATTCATCCTGAAAGATCCTTACATACACATGTAAATGGACATTGAAAAGTGTAAGTAGGTCACTTCACTTGCCACTGCTATTCAGCTTCTTGAGGTTTAAAATGCAAACTTTAAAATACATCTTTATTGTTGCATAGTGGTACACAGGAAAGAAGAAAATCCAGCAAGTTGAAAAATAGCGGAAAAAACTTAGGAAAGTGGAATATAGATATCAAAGTTGGAATTTGGCAACAATAATTGAGTTAATACTGCTGGTGCTGCCAAAATAGTATGAAAAAAGTTTGCCTAGAAGAACCTTGTTTAGTATGTCATCTGCGAGTCTGTACAACTGTCACAGTGTGCTTGTAACAGAATTCTGCCGTGGTACTGGTTCAACCGGGGTACAGGGGGATGCACACCACCTGTACTTCCTGGCTTTTTCTTTGAGGGTTCTCAAGACGTGGCCTGATTACAGCTTATATCAGTTGGCTTGGGTATATCATGTGCAAAACTAAGAACTGGAGCTTTGAACTGACTGAGTTTATCATGTATTTGAAAGAAAATGTAATGCAGAGCATCTGAAGAAATTCTGAAATTCTTTTCCTCAGCAAAGAAATCTGTGACCCTGCAATTGGAGGAGAAATCATTATGTGCCCTCTTTGTGATGTGGATTGTAACTACTGGAGATTAAATACCACGTGTAGGCCATCAGAGGTCTGTATCCAGTTCTGAAATCATTAGCCATTTTTTGTTTCCATTTAAATTCTGGTCTGTTACTGAACTGTCCCTATGCATTTCTGTTGCAGTATTCCCATTTGTTTGATAATGTGGCAACTCTGTTTTTTGCGATTTTCATGGGCATATGGGGTAAGTAATTTAAGTTTAAATAAAGTAATGAGGAGATCTTAACAGAAACTTTCAGGGATGTTGGCATAGCCTTTTTATTGTTCTAGATCAAACAATAATTACCTGAACAAAGAATAAAAATAATTTAAAATTGTGGAGGAATTGCACAAAAAATTAACCTCTTGTGCAACCAATATCCCTTTGGATTTGTGGTTACAAGCCTATTTTCACAGAAGTGGTTATTTCTAGATCAAGTCCTACTGTCTGTGCTTTCTTTTCCTATTTGTAACCAAAGCTGCTGTAAACACACCCAGACTTCCATAGGGGATGGATGTTTTGCAGCTGTTAGCAATTTAGAACATGCTGTGTCTTTTTTTCCAATTTTGCAATAAAATGTTTCTTCTTCTGCCCCCATAAAGTGTATTTCTTCCACTTCTGACTAATGGCTACCACACTAGAAAGCAATAGAGAGGCACAGGGATTATTGTGGGTAACTAAGACCAAGACCAGTATGCCTCTGCACCAGAGAAATTCATACAATATGTATGGACTCTGATAATGCAGAACGCAGATGAATTTAAATGAGATCCCTGAAAGCATGCCTGTTTTAGTCATATAATTTAACTTGTACTCTAAGTACAAATTTCTGTGAAGCAAAGCTTTACAACCAGCTTGGCTATGAAAGTATATTACAGGAGCTGGGATAGTTTATGGAGCAGATAGGATGATAAAAAGGGAATTTTAGCTCTCCAGTCAGAGTGTGTGATGCATGGAGTTCTGTTTGCAGTCTCCAGGTTGCAGTGCAGAGTGGTGGGTGTTTGGTTTTTTATGCTTCTGGATTTTGTTGGTCTTCACATAGGGCCAGGATGAACTAGGTGTTGGCCATAGCCAAGGCTGAGAATTTTGACCTGACTGGGGTATGCTGGTGCTTCTGCTGGGACATAAAAATTGCAGCGGTTCCTAGGCTGGATGTTTTTCTTCCTCTCCTCAGATCAGACCAATGACCAAAATTGGGATTAGGAAAGAATTTTACCCCACAGTCAGACTGGCACAGATGGCAAGAATTTTTGCCTTCCTCTGTGGTGGGGAGCATAGTCCCCTTCCTTGGCTTTCTTGTGTGTATTTTAACAAACTATTTCCTGTCTTTGCTATGGCAGGATTTT